GCAAAGACTGGTAGTAAAAGGCTATAACTGCTGCCAAAGGTGCTTCAACAAAATACTGAGCAAAGGCTGTGAATGCTTATGTACATGTTATATTTTCGTTATTTATTTTTAATAAACCTTTAACATTGTCATTAAGGTGTGTGTGTGTGTGTGTGTGTGTGGGGTGCATACTTTCTGGATGCACTGTATCTTAACAAGTTCAGAAACAGACCAATGTTCCAAATATTAATTAATGTGGTAGTGGATTTTTACACTAAATCTACTCATACATCATTAGCTATAAATCAATTTACTTTTGTTGATTCCAATGGATAATGACAAAGATGTTCCTTACGCTTCCTCCTTGCCACACAGTCGGCCATGCTTGCTAAAAAAGGGGGTGTAGCTCTACTAAAATCCACTTTAAATGATGTGGGACACTGTGATTGGCTTATAGACATGCAATCAAATAGTTTTGTATGTTTGGGCATCTGAAGCCTTGAGTTTGGCGTGATGGTCGTCGCCCTGACCTCATTGGCTCGCAGTTTTGACACCATTTGACTTTGAGTTGTGGCTCACCTGGTCAGTCTTTATTACAGCTAAATAGTGTTATGTTTCTAAAACCATTTTAGGAGGGAAATAGTCAAAGCAGTAACAGAATCTGGATCCATATTTGATCAGCACTGCCTAGTTTGACAGTTTGTGAGTTTGGAGCTGGACGAACTCACTGAGAATGACCTGTCAATCACAAGGTAGCATGCCCTAAAGCATACCCTGCTTTATATTCTATTTTACTATAAATGGACCATAATTTACTAAATATACATCATTCTGTATGTAAGAAGACAAACTAGAGATTGAGACCATAAACTCATTAGGAAACTGTTTACTGAGCTAATTAATCAAGTGAGAAGTCGACTCATCTCTCCATAAGACTGCATGGTATTGTTTTTTTTAATTTTTTTTTTATTGCAGCCAATGAATCTGCCTCCTGCTGGCCATTACATATAATACAGGTTAAAGACACTCCATTATATATATATACTGCCAATGGTCCAGTGCGATTTAACTGACAATGGAACAAGTTGCCTTCAATTTTTTATTTTAAAGAAAATAAACCATTTTTGCAACTTTTAATTTAAGTTCACTGCAAAATGTATTAAAACTTCTCAACATGCATAGCAATTTTAGAAAAGCTGGGAAATTAGGTATTTTAGGCTGCAACAATTACAAAAAAGCCTGCAAAATGGAGGGACTGCCTGCTTTTAACTCTGCTAGCCAGCCTACAGAAGTATTACGAACCCAAAATGTCCACCCTGAAAAAGACCTTTTAGGAAAGACAATGCACTCACCACAAAGTTTTACTATGGCACTGACTCAAAATCTTCCTGGCCCTAACAAATGTTTTTAATGTCATGTTTGATTCAGTATGAAATAAATTCTTCAGCATGAGGAGAATCCTAAGGTTAGACTAGTGCAAGTTTTTCCAGTACACTGTAATACTTGTTACTGATTTCTAAATGGCTTTTCTTACACATCAAACAAACATGCCATCACAGTGTACCCCGCCCACAAGGTCCCAACTTCATGGTTCATCTATATACAAATCTTCACTCATACTGTGATCCACTGAATCATCACTGAGGGAAAAAAACAGCACAAACAGCACATAATCAAATTGCAACTAGAAGAACAAATGGGAAGACTAAAGAAGAGCATGAGTGGTAAAATTGTTGTCCAGTTTGGCTAGATGAGCGATGAGTCATGCAGCAAACACCCACCATTCAACATCCTATTACATATACTCTGGCTAACACACCATAGAGAAATAATTAATTTCATACATGCCCAGAAAACATGGAGAGAGTTTAGATTATATTAAACTAAAACTATACTAAATTAAAATTAGGTCCAGTGTGTCACATTAAGGATGATCTTTTGGCAGAAATGGAATATAATATAAATAGGTATGTTTTTTTTTTTTTATTCTTTTTATTAGTGTATATCACCTGAAAATAAGACTCATTGTTTTTCGTTACCTTAGAGTAAGCTGTTTTCATCTACAGATGGAGCAGGTCCTCTTTTATGGAGCCCACCATGTTGAACTGCCATGTTTCTACAGTAGCCCAATTAGAACAAACCAAACACTGTCTCTAGAAAGGTGCCTTTCATGTTTTTCGCAGCCACTTTATTATCTCCTACACACTTGGAACAGGAGCAGCATTCAGTTGGTTGCAATCTGTAAATTCACCACTAGATGCCACTACACACTGGTCCTTTGAGCCAGTGGTTTGCATCTGGACCTCCACTCGGGGTTGCCAAAGCTTCACTGGGGGTCACAAGGCCTTCTTGATTTTAAGGGGTGTTAAAAAACTTAAAAATATACACAGTAGGCCTATATCTCAGCATTGTTTATATTTCTGTGAAAACTAAATGCTATTGATTGCTTAGATAGTATGTATGACTGTTAAAACATTTAAAAATACATAATACAGACAGAATTGTATAAACTGTTTCTAAAACTATTACTAATATTCACAGGAAATAATCTGCTCAAAATTAATCAAAATCACTAGTTTTACACAAACTGTTTGGGTTCATTTTACAGTTTATCAGGAATATAATACGAAATATCCATAAAATATATCACTTAGTCAGGGGTCAGGCAGTTTACTCAATGATAGAAAAGGGGTCCCTTTAGGGAAAAGGTTGGGAACCACTGCTATAAGATAACACTCTTCTTTTCTAACTCTTATACCTTATGTAATATGTAAAAGGAACATTTGATGATGTGAATCTCATTTGCCACACACAACTGTACACCTACACACACCACATGGCGTCCTGCATACATTCAATTCAGAAAACAGTAGTTGATTCCATTTCCTCTGTGCTTTTCTCTATGCAGCAGAAATCCAGGAAGTGAGCCTAATCTATGTTAAAATATCATGATACATCAAAGATCTGTTATGTGTCACTGTCACTAAGAATAGAGCAACCTTAATTTGCTGAGATTTTTGTTTATGATACCCAGGGGACTTTTCTGGCTTTTCATGGGCCACAAGTGGGGCATTGACTTTTGCAGGGGTGGCATGAAGTATGTGTCTCAGCTTTCCATTCATTCACAATTTGTTATTCCAGTACTGTTTATGGACCCCAGTATGCAGAAATATTTAAATACACTAGGCAAAAATAACACATTTATGCTACATGTAAAAAACTTTTTTGCCCCAAACTGCATGGGATTAGCATAAGGTGGGCATGTTTACTCATAGAACCTATTTTCATTCAGATATCTTTAGGTCAGATGTCAAGGGATCCCTTTAAAAATGGAGTTTAAGTTTGGAGTGTTATTTAGCCCTCTTCCTAACATGCTAGCATGACATGGTTGTTACCAATGGATGCATTAGATCAGAGGTTTCCAACCTGGGGGTTGGGAACCCCAATAAGGGTCGCAAGCGTCATAGTGGGTTGCACGGCTGTCTTGATTTTAAGGAGTGCCAGAAAATATAAGAAATATACATAGTAGGCCTATATCGCAGCATCTGGTTCACCTCTGTGAGGCAAGTAAATGTAAACAGTAACAGAATAATGGCCAAGTGACAGGGACATGAAAACACAGAATTTGTAAAAAAAAAAAAAAACCCTTTTAATTATGTGTGATTGTTCAAAATTAATTGTAAAAAGTTCCCTAAACAGGAAATAATCTGCTCAAAATTCATCCAAATCATTTGTGTAGTTACCTTATTTGTGTTAATTAATTAATACATTTTTAATACAATATTAAATATCCCAAAAATTACTTACACCAGGGGTCGTCACGCAATGATAGAAAAAGGGTCCGTTTAGAAAAAAGGTTGGGAACCACTACATTAGCTCATCTAGTTTCATATGATAGCAGTATCTCCAGTCTAGCCAGCTACAGCCTTAGAGTTAAGGATAATGGCGTGGCTCTTGGGTTGGCCAATCAGATTTAAGGGATTGCCAATGCCACTCCAGGTCTCACCTCTGAAAATGCCCCGGATGATACATGGAGTGAAGTCTGCCAGCCAGGTTGGCAGACGAATAAGGTTGGACCACAGCATTCATACAGTACTCCACTCTCAGCAGCAATCTGACACAGTGCTGTGCTCTGACAGTGCTGCTGATATTGTTTCATTGCTCACTACAAGTATATCCACAACCATCATGGCTGCTGTTTGCTAAGCTTTGAAATCAACACATTCTCTACAGCATTCTTCAGTAGGATGATTAGAGGACCTCCTTTTGACCCATTACCTTGTTAGTTCAATACTTATTGTGCTCCCAAAAAAATAACATTTTGTGCAAAAATCTGGCTTTTCTGCTTAAAATGTGCTTGTACGTGTGTACTTGCATTCCAAAGTTTGGTTCAGCCATTTAGATCTGATGAGCAAAACACTTTAACACCTAATTATTTGTTTATATATCTTTGTTTTACCATGTGTCAATCACATCCATCCATTAAAAGCCCTTCCTAGTTTTAAAACCTTAGTAAATCATAAAAAGGTACTAAACTTACATCAGAAATATTGCTTCTAAAAACATAAGCCCACATTGCCAAGACTTGAATGAAATGGAGGATAGGAAACAGGACTCAACCATTAAATCATGTTTGCCTTCCTGCTAGAAGAACAACAGATAGCTCTTATGTTAAAAGAGGGACTGCTTGTCACACATCCTCATATCCATCCCTTCTTTATCAGATTTGTGCAGATCTCCAACAACATAGCAATCCAAACACACACACTCCTCACACACAACCTCAGGCACAGTATGCTTCCAGCAGATAGATGTACACACTATAAACATCTGTTCTGCTTCCTTGTTTTCTAGAGGAGGCAACAGAGAGGCATCGCGGATGGCCTCCCATCCCCCTCAACCCTGCCTCCCCTCTCCTCATCTCCCCTCCTCTCTCCTCTCCTTCTGCTCCTCCTGTCTCTGTGTGAGGCTGCAGCATCTGCCATTAAAGGCATAAAAACAGGGTGAAAAGGAGGCTTTACCTTTCAACGTAGGGAGTGATGTGGGCTGTGATTTAGCTCAGATGTTGCTGCTCCTCAGCCTCGGCTAACAACATCATATGACCAAGGACCACCTGCTCCTGCTGCCTGGTCATATGACCAGATTAGGCCCTGGCAAGGATTTCTGGGATTTGTAGTTGAAGGGGGTGGCCAGGATGGGATTTCATTTTAAATAGAATCCTGTGTGGTGGTTAAAAAGCATAAGTAAAAAACGTGAGAGGTTTGAATTCACTTGGTATATCTTAGATCAATGATTTATGATCAATGTTATACAATATAAGATTTAGATAGAAATCATTAACTGTCAATGTTAAAGCTCATATAATGAGATGAGATTATGATTTATTATATCATATGTGACATTTCTTAAATAATACTAATGCAGTAAATTTTAACAGGAGGCAATTAAATTAGTAGCTGAGAAGAGAAAAATATTCCACTGACTTTTTAATCTAGTAAATATGTACTAGTATTTAATGTTACTAACATTATGTTATTATTGAAAGCCAAATATGAATGAAGATAGCCTAATCATTATAAGAAGAGATATAAAAATGTTAATATACTATATAACAATACGACCCTAAAGGAGTAATGGCTGAACAAAAATATCTGAAGGTGGCATTAGAGGTTGTTTTATTTCTAAATCGTCATATATTTTTTCCAAATATGTCTTTTTTGTCATTGAACTTAAAGCTGCTAAGTGGTAAATTTGTTCAAACTATTTGTCACATTTGCTGAAACGTTCACTACATCCTGACAGTAGTACATGAGTCAGATAATCTGTGAAAAAATCTGGTTCCACTGGCTCCTACTAGTGCTCCTAATTGTATCTGCAGGAATTCACCAGTCAAACACAAGCCAGATGACACTGGAAGGAGCAGAGAGGCTATGGCCAAATTTCTGAGCAGAAGGAAGTATGAAGAAGGTATGACAGGCTGAACGCGGCAAAGGTGAGGCGCTATACAGACTAGCAAAAAAACTTTAGGTAGCTTAACCTTGAATGCACAATCACTTTACTTACATTTACAAAAACACTGCTGCACTGTCATTATAAGGCTATTATGTTGCAACCTGCTAGAAGCTAATGGCCAAGAGCTTGTTTGAAATTGCCCATGTTAGTATTAGAGCTCAGGGTGGGTGGTGGTGGTGGTGGTGGAGTGGATGTGGATGAGAGGCCCAATTTAGATAATTTGTTCCCCTGTCCATAATTCCTAATGGCTGGCCTTCGTACCACATTGTAAATAATTACTTGTGAATATACCCATACAGCAGTGCAAAGCAGACTAGCATCGGGCACAGGGCTTGGGACAAGTTATACACCTTGCTTGTTTCACCCTGTATACATATTCATAATGTTAATATCGGTGGATTTTTTTCATCCAAACACATATTGTGTGTAACATCTGCTTTTCTGCCCACATTTATTTGTATGTGTGCTTGGATTTGAAAGTTTAGTTCAGCTAAATTCTCCACCCCCTCCCTGTGACCAAAGGCTTAGCTTCAACAGTGCAGGAAATAATAATATTTATTAATTATAATAGATAGCAATATATTTTGTCCATAACAAGTGTTTATATGTCTGACTTTTCAGATGCCAGATCTTGTGATTTTTTTGTGCCCGTTGCACTGTACTGTATTTCAGCTAGTATTCCAAATTTACAGAGATGCACAATTGGCTGGTGAAGGGGTGATACAACCTCCTCTCAGAGCAAACCTAGTTGACCCATTCAGGAGCTCTGATTGGTTGTTTGTGTTCAAACCTGGTGGATTCTTGCAAATACCATTAGGAGCACTAGAACGAGCCAGAGGGACCGGATTTGTTTTCGCAGATTATCTGTCTCATGTCCTACTGTCTGTTAAAGTTTCAGCAAATATAACAAAAGTATTTTTTATAAAAGATACCTACTGCAGCTTTAATAAAAGAACTAAGCAGTGCAAGAGCCACACCATTTAAAATGTTAAACATCAGGAAGTGTTTTCCATGTATTTGCCGAGCTGAATAATAGTGCACATAAAGAATACTCTTTGTTTGTGATTTTATTTTATTTTAATTGTTTAACTTGCCCGACCTGTCCAGTCAGACTATGTATAGCTTCTCATAAATCATTATTATTATCATTATAACACGTTTGCAGATGACAGAATTGGTGTAGAGGTGCAAATTCACAAACTAGGACACTCAGGTCGGTTTGGCTTAAGGCCACAGCACCGGGCACTGACTCAAGCTGGAGCTTAAGACTGACAGTGAGCCCAGCTGGACCGCCGGTCAGAGCCAAATCTGACTAGTCTCACACCAGATTTGAGCCACTCCCATGTTGCTTCCTTTTTGCCATGCCTGGATATACAGGGGACATGAAGAGCAACTAAAACGCTTTGACAATTTCTGTCGCAGTCTGGATAGTGGAGTCCATACCGGCTACAGTATTTTCTGAAACTGAAGAAAATAATGTGAATTTTAAATGATGCAATGTCTGGAACCCCCCTGGCTTCATATTTGCACTTATGGAACAAAGAAATTCTCCCAGAAAGCACTGGCAGTGTTGTTTTCTATTGGCCAAACCATTCTAGTCAGTTAGCACCCAAAGTGTCTCCAATGTTATCTAGATCTTATGTTTGGTTGTGTTTTTTTCCAGCGACCTTAAACAGTGATGGAACAGAAAGAAAACTGTGCTGAAGTTGTTGGAACCAAAGGAAGGGACATGGAAACACAAACAAACATATATACTGTATAATTTTAAGGTTAGAGTTTTTTTGGGGGGTTTGCATTACTGGCAACATTTGTATATACTTATTTATTATTGACCAAATGTCAATGTGCCGGAGGGATTGTGGCCAATGAGTCATTGTTGTCTTGTTTATTGTAGACATTGAACATGTCTAAGCCTGGCTGCTGCATTCTAAACCAGCTGGAGACTGATTGCATATTATATCAGTGACCAGATATTACTCTTGATCATGCGCCACAAACGGCAAAACGCTGCAAAAAACGGGAATGATGCAAAACCAAAAACACACAAACGCATAAAAACAAATGCAACAGAAAAACGCAGCAACAGCAAAATGCTGCAATCACAGAAACGGAGCACAAACTTACAAACCCACAAAACAAATGCCAAAGAGAAATGCTGCAAATACCAAAAACACCAAAACCCCAAAACAACTGCAAGAGATAAACACAGCAAATTCACTCGACAAAACGGAAGTGCGCCAGGCCACTAGGGGGACTTGACCTGAGGGATGGACCAGTCCTGTGGGACCAGACCCGAAAGACATGAAGAAGAAGAAGAAGAAGAAGGAAGTTGGCTATATTTTGGAGAGGAGAGTAAAAAGATAAGTTTTCCTTTATGTCTTTTTTAAACACTTGGGCATAATCTTTTATATTATATCATATTAAATAATATAATAATAATATTATGTAATATTATAATAATATTATTATTATAGAAGAATATTCTTATTATATATATATATATATATATATTATATTCTTAGAATATTATAGAAGAATATTACAATAATTCTTCTATTATAGAAGAATGTTCTTCTATAATATAATATTATTATAATATTTTAATATTATAATAATATTATATAATATAAAAGATTACAGCCAAGTGTTTAAAAAAGACATAAAGGAAAACTTATCTTTTTACTCCTCTCCAAAACATAGCCAACTTTCTTCTTCTTCTTCATGTCTTTCGGGACTGGTCCCACAGGACTGGTCTATCCCTCAGGTGAAGTCCCCCTAGTGGCCTGGCACACTTCCGTTTTGTTGAGTGAATTTGTAGCGTTCATCTCTTGGAGTTGTTTTGGAGTTTTGTGTGTTTTTGGTATTTGCAGCATTTCTCTTTGGCATTTGTTTTGTGGGTTTGTAAGTTTTTGCTTCTGCTCCGTTTCTGTGATTGCAGCATTTTTCTGTTGCTGCATTTTTCTGTTGCATTTGTTTTTATGTGTTTGTGTGTTTTTCAATTTGCATCATTCCCAAGTTTGCAGTGTTTTGCCGTTTGTGGCGTGCTTGCAGCGCACTTGCGGCATGTTTGCGGCGTGTTTGCAGCGTGTTTGCCCTTGTCGGCCACCGTAGTATAGCACCAAATCATAACAAAAGTTATCTCAGGACACTTTTCAAATAGAGCAGGTCTTGACCGTACTCCCTTTTAAATTATTTACAGAGACCCAACAGAACCACCATGAGCAAGACCTTGGCAACAGCAGCAAGGAAAAACTGCCTTTTAAGAGGCAGAAACCTTGGACAGACCCCGGCTCTAGGTGGGTTGTGGAGAGAAGGACAGAGACAAAGGTGCACAACAATAGTAGCAGCAACTATACTAATATAAATGACTGATGATGATGATGATGAACATGAAGAAGATAATAACAACAACAGCCACAATGATGGGGGCCGATGTACTACAATAATATTAATAATAGTAAATGTAATAATGTAGTAATAATAAAAAATAATAATAATAATGATAATAACAATAATATCAGTAATATAACCAGTGGTAGTCCACCAGGATCCATGAGAGAAGATTATGATATTGCTGCGCCCTGCCTCCTCCGGTGCAGGATTATGGTCTCAATCTCTAGTTTCAGTCTTCTTCTATACAGCATAATGTATATTTAGTCAATGATGGGCCCATTTAGAGTAAAATAGACCTTAAAGCAGGGTAGGCTTTAGGGCGTGGCTACCTTGAGATTGACAGCTCATTCTCAGTGAGTCCATCCAGCTCAACACACCAAACTCAAATCAAACTTTCAAACTAGGCAGTGCTGATCAGATATGGATCCAGATTCTGTTACTGCATTGACTATTTCTCTCCTACAATCTTTTTGAGATTGTGTGTGACCAGGCAAGCTGCCATTGTTTCCTGCTATGGATGAGTCGAAACTGCGCAGCCAATGACAGCAGCTCAACTCAACTGGAGGCGACCATAGCGCCAAACTCAAAGCTTAGACTCAACGATAGGTTGCACTAATACACATTTCTTACCTCAAACACACATACAGGTTTTCATTTGAAAGGTTTAAGTGGAAGCCTCATGTTTGCTGCGTTTTCAGTTAAACTCTGG